CTTTGGATCGGTTCGAAGGCCGGCGCAGAGCCCATGAAGTTCGCCGATGGCGAGGAAGGCCGACACATCCTTCTCGTTGAGGAGGCTGTGCAACTGACTCGGGGTGAAAGCGAACGCGTCGCCGGACACTTCACCGTGTGCGGATGCGGCGAGTGTCCCCGGCTCCTCGGAACCGCGAGCGGTGCCTTCCATCAAAGAGACGATAGGATTTAACGAACGGGACGGTTATCCATGGATATCATGGCTCAAGGTTGCCTTCATGACCTGCGCCCGCAGTCGACGAGTCGAGGTTCATTGGCCGGCCTTGGCGAGGCCTGGAAATGGGGGTCTTGGGGTCTTAGGTAATACGTCATCTCTGAATCGCGCGTCGCTTAGTGCCGGGTTACCCGGGGCGTTGCAGAAGACCCCTAGTTCTTATCCCATTGCCCACTAACAAACACGCGGCTTGCTACGCGACCCATCAAACTTGATCCCCTAGAAGCTACAAAATCGCCAGTCTTTCCAACGAGGCTCTTAAAGACCCGATAAGTTGGATCATCCACTGGCTATCAATCGGTCCGTCTAGCCATGAGATTCCAATTGTCATACTTCCATCGCCTCCAGTGACAATAGACGCTTCGAATGCAGCCCCAACGATGTCTGCACTTTGACTAAATACCATTCGTCCAACTCTGCAAACTTCTGTCCTACCATTCTGTTTGAAGACCCCAATGTTAGAGGACTCGAAACTCTCCGCGCGCGGCTTTCCAAGTCTCTTCTTGTTCATTGCGGAATAGTCTTTCACGTAACGTAGAAGCCCTACAGAACTGTCGGCTCCGTCCTTCTCCAAAACAGACTGGATGATCTTTCTAATACGCCTGGCCTCATCCCACAACGCTAGATCCGGAGCATCATCAGGCGACACAGAATCTCCATCAGCCGCACGGACATGATTCACAACATAGCGCGACGTCCATGTGCCTAAGGAGTTTTCATCCACGATATGATGCGGCAAGTGTCTTCTGAAGGAGATGGCACCATCGGACCGCAGAGAATCGTATTCCTTTGGTAAGTTTGCGAACAGCGCAGCCGCTATTATGGCATCGATCAGGCCTGTGATCGTTGTTGAATTCTTCCGCGAAGCCGTGACCAGTTTTTGAATGGTCGTTGGGGACATAGTGAAGGACTGAAAACGAGATGTTGAGAGGTCTGGCGAGTCTGAGCACTGCGATCCCGTCCAAGTATTGGTGGGTGCGCCCGGCAACTTCTCCTTATTCGACACTCTTAGCAGATGTTCTCGTGAAAAAGGCAGTTCGTGGACGGACTCAAGTGAAGGGAGCAGTGGTGACTCTGGTGCGCGTATAATGTGAATAAGGTCCGAGGCATCATTTTCGAGGGGCTCTGGAGCCAACAATACATCTTGTAGTGCCGAAAGAAGGTGTCGATGGAAAGCTAGCCCTGATGTCCCGTCGCTGATGGCATGATGGAATATAAAAGCCACCGTGAAAGTAGATGGACTGTACAACACTATGACTCTCCAGAATGGAAGCTCGCCAGACCTTGCCTTGAAATCTGTATTATGCTCCCTTTCCAGAAGGGCGTCCAGCTCTACATTGTTCGAACTATTGTTACTCTCAACATCAGATTTGCTTGAGACGAATGTAACACACTGTCGCAAATCAAGATATGGTATTCGCACGTAATACGGGCTTGGGGTATCTTCGTCAATAGGTATCGCAGTTAGTATTGGATGTGCCGCAATGACACTCCCAAGGGCCCTGTAGATCAGCGTCTCCAGAGGATGGTTCGTATTTTGTGCTGAATACTCTGCAGAAACGCCGACATTTTTGAAGACACCTAGAGCATGTTTGGCCATCAAAAACCTCTCAAGCAGACCTGAATTCCATAATCAGATCAAATTGGCGTACAGCTAGGTCCGATAGAACACCTACCAGCAGGTCTGAGCTTCTCAAATGTGTAAAGATTAGCCATCCTATGTAAGCCTAGGCAAGTTAGCTCAATCAGTATCGAGCAGATGTGCGAGCTCTTGCCTTGCCTTACACCAGGATACTGTATGAATTATGTTTTCCACTCCGGATTCTGTGATAAAGTTGCCGGGGCCGCGGAGGCCCGGGGACGGCCTACTCGGGTGCCGTGCACGTCAGCACCGGGGCTGCACAATCGGAAAGATGAAATCAGTTGAAGGTGCCACAATCAAGCGTTCCTTCTGAATAGTATTTGCATGGTCTCTTTGTTTGAATTATATGAATCATTAAGTAGAACCAGACGCTTGAATACGCCTGCTTACAGGTGCTCTAAATATTTTACATCAATTGGAACAATGCGACATGCTGCCAGACATAAGACACCCTCCAGTCATAACGGCAGTGATTTGTTCTATCCAATCCAATCTTAGTAGGACGCCGTCTCGTACTTGCTCTTCGCGCGAACAGTATGCCCGAACTTGAACAGAACCCATGGGATAGGCAATAACGCGACAGCAAGAAAAGCCAGGAGGCTACTCGCCCAGTTGATTCCCAAATTCTCATACATTTGAAGCGTGAAAAGAGGAAGTGCTCCCGCGAGTCCGTAACGAGCCAGGCTATTCGCACTCGCTGCGCTAGCGACAGTGGTGCCATGGTAGGTGTCAGTGATATATGATATAGTGCTGATGAACAAACAGATGTTGCCCCAAGCGAAAGGGACCATAGCGACAGCAGGACTAGCCCATGAGATATCACGCCGAGCCGTCCAGGCGAACCAAAACAGGCCAATGGGTAGACCAATACTTCCTATCATTGCCGGAATGAGTCGCCACTCCGGTGGGACTTGATGGGGAGGATGCTTGGCAATTTGAGGACGGTAGAAGAATATGTCGCACAAGATGATCGTAATGGTGCCAAGTACACATCCCACGACGATGCTGATGAAGACCAAACCGGATTGCTCCAGCGTAAAGTGGTAAGTCCCTTGAAAGACGTACGGCACGGCGGCAAAGAAGGTGAATAGAGTCGCGAACATGCAGGCGGTGTATAGGCAAATAAATCCAACGATCGGTTCTGTGAGCATCATGTGTACGGGTCGAAGGAGAGCCACTGTCAAGAAAAGCTTCAAAGTCGCCATCATCGGGGGTTTCGGTGCGATGGGCAATCCAAGCTTACTCGCCTTCCTTCTCTTTAGAATTGGATGGTATGTCTCGCGACCCCATGCTAGAGCGACGATCATGCTCTGTATGAAGAAGAATAGCATCGTCCATTGGGTCCACCGCCAGCTTTTTCTATTGACAACGAAAGCTCCCATGACAGGACTAGGGGTGCGATGTTAGTGACACCTGTGAAACTGCAAAAGGGGGGACGGGAGGCTCTCACGCTAGACCAGGGCCTAGAAACGGGGTCAGAATGAACACTGTTGCCGGAAGCCCACGTTCGACAGGCATAAAAGTTTCATTCAATGTTCCAGATGATATTGCAAGGCTAGGCGCAAAACAGAATCCGGCCAGAAAACGCAGGATGCAAAGTCCAGCGAAATTATGAACGAAGCCTGCTCCAAGCGTGAAGAGAGCGCCCAGAGGTGCGAGGCCAATGAAGGTGGGATATCGTCCCCATGTTTCCGACATAGGCCCTCCCAAGACAGGACCGAGGCCCAACGCGAAGACGTACATTGACAACGGCAGGATGGACTGTGTGGTCGTGACACCGAACTCTTCCACCAACTGCTCGTGGGCTGGGGCCATGATAGAGGTTCCAATCGACCTAACAAGAATGTGAGTTTTTGTCTCCTGTAAACAAAGAGTATACGAACGCCAGAAAGCCGAAAGACGAGATCATAGCCACTTGTTTCCATTTCTTTGCAGTGGGCCAGTTGTACGGGTTATCTGGATCCGTGTTCCAGTCCCAAACACTCTCGTCGGATTTTTGCTCGACCGGAGCAGTATTGTCATCTGTACCGGGCTCATTCTCTCGCTCACTCTCTGAAAGTCCGCCAACAGTGGTCTCGTCTTTATCCTGCGCCTTTGGGCCCAGCTGGCCAGCCTCGAGGGCCTTCTCAGAGTTTGCGACTGTAGCACGATTGTCCATATCAATTGCTGTGTTCAGTACTCGACACAAACTCTCGAAAAGCAGCTCCCAAGCGGCTGTTTTATCAGTTTAATGGGGCGTAGCTTATCAATCTTCTGAAGTAATCTGCGTGGACATGCTTCAGTATCATTGGATTCGAATTGCAATGGAACATGTCAATGATAGTCGCCGAACATTTACTTCATTTTGTGATGCTAAATACACCCTCTCTCTAGCAGCGTTCCCGCCTATCTGGCTTATGTTCTGTTATGCCCTGTCTGAGCCTCGCTAGCACTCTAGCATGTCTTAGGTCTGAAGCAGATTAACATGATCAATAATCATTAAGAGGGAGGACCCCAGCGAATACTACTGCTGTTGGCGGCAAGGGGATTTCCACTACCGCTTCCACCACCGGCGATCAGTCGGCATGAGATGGAGACATTTAACTGTAATCGGAAATATAAACGAAATGTTATTCTAGATTTCTACTCGGTTGTGTCATGGCATAAGCACTTTGTTTCTCACTTCAAGTCTATCTTTGTCATCCCGGTTTCGACTTCAGGATTACACGAACAGAAATCTCGAACCGTGAAACCGAGAGTCGAGAATCCGAGCCAGCCAGGCCTTAATCATGTCTTTCCGCAGCAATGATCCCTTTTCAACGAGTTAACAATTG